GGGGATGGGGTGACTCCTTTCCCTCCCCTTTCCCTAGAGGTTCCGAGGTGCAGGGCTGGCGAAGTCCTCGAGGCCTGTCCTGCAGCCCTGGGACCTGTCCAGTCCAGAACTGTGAGCAGCGAGAAAGCTCCCAGAGTCTCTGTTCTCTGTGTGAACAAGTGGAGGGGGCCCGGCCGGGCGTGGCTCAGCGGTTGAGCGTCGACCTAGGATCCAGGTGATCGGGGTTCGATTCCCGGTCAGGGCACGTGCTCGTGTTGCGGGCTGCAGCCGATCAATGACTCTCTCATCATTGATGTTTCTATCTCCCTCTCTCCCTCTCCTTTCCTCTCTCTGAAATCAATAAAGATATATTTAAAAAAACAAAAAACAAAAAAAAAACAAGTGGAGGGGGTTTGGTACCAGCTTGCTATAGGAGGAGCGCGGCCAAGCTAACTTTCCAAGGGCATACCTTCAAGTTCCCAAGGTACCCGAGTCTCCGGGCAATCCCAGGTTTACCTTGGGTTACTTACACGGCCATCGAAACGGTAGAAACAGCTCTAACAAGTCCCACTGTTGCGTCCACAGTAACTCTTAGCTAAAATGTCAATTATTAACACAGTCTTATAGAAACAGACAGGGCAGGCCCGTGAGTGCCATATGGCTGTCACCTGCACCATGTACTTTGCAGCTGCCTAATTTATTTACAAAGCCTAAAGGCCGGGAATGCCAGGGGAGGCCGGCCAGCCAACACCGCATTTGCAGGGCAGCTTTACAGATTAGAAAGTAAATGGCACGGCTCAGATTTCAAAGAGTTTTCTTAACACCTATTGTCCCCTTGCCCAAGGAATCTCGCAGGTTTAGGAAGAAAGGTTCCTTCTGAGGACAGAAAATCTGGTATAGACCAGACTCCTTCCCCAAGCCACGCCGGAGGTCCCCTTCTGCCCCTCAGCGACTTTATAGAAGTGGTTTTTCTGTAAGGCGGGTTGTCACCTCTCTGGGCTGTGCTAATAATCATCCAGAGCTGAGTGTCCCAGGAGTGGAACAGAATAGTCCGACGACGTCATTGCCCTCCTTCGGTTGTTAGGCAACGCCTCCTTCGCAGAGATGGACAGAACAGGCTCCGGGAGATACCAGGGGAGAGGCTTCGTATTCCAGGTCAGCCCACCGCCGCCTGGAAGGGGACAAGATGGGAGCCTCTCTCGGGGCCACCCACATAAGAGGCATTGTTGTCCTCCCTCCTCCGGAGCCCTGGAGTCGATGGATGGGCCTCGGCGCGGCTGGGCGTGGCTGGCGTGTGTGACGGGGCAGTCCCGAGAGGAGCTCTGCGGCCACCGCCCGGTCGCTGCAGGGCGCTGCCCCAGGGCCACGCGTGGGCGGCTTACGGGCTCCCTCGCCTTACGGGACGCCGGTTGGAGAAATAGCCCGAGTCAGTGACTGCAGGTTTCCAACGTTTGCAGCGGCCGCCAGCGGGGTGGGGTTCTGCGGCCCCCTCCCTGGGATTTTACGGCCGGTTCGCTGGAGGCAGCGCGGGAAGTGGGAGACCCGTCTGGGTTAGGCGGCCAGCCCTCCTCAGTGGGCTTTCTCTCCCTTCCAAAGCCGGGCGTTTTCTCCTGGGAATCAGCCTAACGGAAATGCTCGCACCAAGATAGATGTGCAAGGTGTTTATGATCGCGGTGGGGCAGCAATAAAAACAAAAAAGGAGACCAGATGGGGACCGTTCGCGGGGACTAAAGTCGATTTGGCGTGGGCGTGTAATGAAGCGCTACATGGGCACAGGAAGGGTGGGGTAGACAGATCGACGTGTGTGGACGCCGGAAGAAGCCCTTGATATTTTACCAAAAGGGGCAAATTAATGAATCATAATAAACACATTATAAAAATCCCTGTGTGGGTAGACATGTGTGTCTAGTATACTAATGTGATGTATATACTATGAGCAGTTATACAAGTGTGAAACATTAGGCTATAAGCAGTGCTAATTTCGTCTGTTTAGTTTATTCTGATTGCCTAAAAGAAGACAAATCAGCGTCCAAACAAGGCCCGCGCATAGCACGTGGGCGATGCTTCTCCTGGTCCCCTCTGATTCACAGCAATTCTTGCAGCATTTATCTGAGAGGAAATCAGTCACCTGTCCTTCGGTGTTTCCTGCATTCTTCTGGATTAGGTTGTTTGTGTCTTTAAGGTGTTGTTTACAACATTCCTCCACCTCCTCTATTTCCTGTAAACTGGGGGCAGGTCTGCAGTCCAGCTGAAATGGAGCTTCAGCTCTTTTGACAAGACTACTTCCTAGGAAGAGCTGTGCGTTTCGAAGGGCATCACATCGACAGGCCAGTGATGTCTGGGTGCCTCAGTTTGGGGGCGTTGAGGTGGACCCCTGGGCCAGGTGTTGTCACCTGGTCCCCTTAGGCCTTTTGGCCTCGGTTTTAGCACCACTGTGAATGGTGACTTAGATCCTTTAAGTCACTGGGCATTGCAAATGGCGATTGCCTAAGTCTCTCATTCCTTCTACCTTTTCTTGGCTGGAATTCTACAAAGAATAACTTTAACGTGTATTTGGTTGCCTAAAATACTGTGTTTACAGAAAAGGCCAGATACATGACTCATTGAGCTTTTTATAGGTCTACAGGATAATTTTTGTTTTCCTGGTAACCTCTATAGATCTCTAATTATACACACAGGGATACATATAAATGTGTATATTTGCTCTTATATCATATATATTTTATATGTGTATATATTTGTATATAAATGTGTATGTATGTAACTGTGTATCTTCATGCACTTACGGATTTTTACATATTTGGTGTGTTTTAGTCTGCAGCAGGACCTATACTTTTGAAGGGTGAAATTACTCCTTCAGTGGACATCAGCGGCAGCCCCTTCAAACCACCCTCTGTGTTCTTCTGACAGAACCTCAGTAGCCTTTGACAGCTCCTTTGCTTTGGGGCTCAAACTGTCCCGAACCCACCATCTTGCTGATTTCATTTCCCAGCGACTTCCCATTCCTCCAAGGAGCACCTGGTCCTTTGTAGTGGGAAATGAGATTTAGCAACCACAATCTTGGATCCTGGGGCCCAAGATATTGGTGTGCAAGGAGGGCCCTAGATATTGGTGTGCAAAGAGGGAGCTCTCTTGGGAACTGGAGAGGAAGGGAGCAGGATTGGACTTAGGAAAGTTAGACTGTGATGCAATCTCAGTGACCCCAGTGGGAGCTCTCAAGCTGGGAGCTGTCTTGATTTGGTGCCTCAGACCAGACATTTATAGCCCATCAATTATTAGATGTGAGTCATCCTGGGAAGGTGGCCTCACCTTGATCAACACAATTGTCTTCAGCTGAGGCAATTCCCAGAAAGGGATGACAGGTGATAGCCCAACAGCTGCCTTCTTGGTTTTCTAATTCTCTCTTCAGCTGTGTCTGATATTTTGTTTGACTTGTCCGCTGAGTTTTTAATTTCCATTACTTGATTTTTTTTTATTTCTAGAATTTCTATTTGTTTCCCTCAAGCCTGTTTCTTTCTTCTGTTTCAACAGATTTTCATTTTATTCTCATATTTAAGATTCTCTCTTTTATTTCTTTAAATATATTTGTTTTTTACAGTCACCACGATGTACAGTACATCCCCAGAACTCCTTTATTTTGTAACTGGAAGCATCTTCTGACCATCTTCACCCATTTCACTCCCCCCACCCCCTACTCCTTCTCTGACTACCCTCAATCTGTTCTCTGTACCTAGGAGTTTGGTTTATTCCTAGATTCCACATATAAGTAAAACCACACAGTATTTGCCTTTCTCTGTCTGACTTGTTTCACTAGTTATTTTAAAATTTTTGTCTGATAGCTCCAATGTCTGGGTGACTTTTGAGCCCAGTTGGGTTGATTGTTGTGTTTCTTGACAACGGGTTGACTCGCTCCTGCCTTTTTTGTATGTCTTCTAAGCTTCGACTGAATAAATCTCAGCTACCATGTTCTAATCAAAATGGACATAAACAGTGTCTCCTCCTGGAAATGGGCATGCCTCTCCTTCTGTCAGGTCACCAGTGGGTGCGTGGGGGAGGTTGGAATCAACCTGCTCAGATGTTGACCTTGGTCTGGGTTTTGTTGTTCCTGTGAGGACCTTCAGGGCACCAAAGACATCAGATTCCTTTTGGGTGGGCTGCCGGCACCTTGTTCAGGGCGAGGGTGGGGCAGGGCAGTGTTCTCACTCTGCCCAGGTTTTCAGCTAGCCCTGCGTGCCTGGCACACAGTGGGATCTCTAGTCATGTCTGCCTTTCCCCAGGGGAGGCGGGTGCTGCTCGTGTAGCTGTGTTGGTCGGACAGGGTTGGGGCAGGAGGACTCTCTGTCATCCTGGTCAAGTGTGAGCCTGGAGCAGGCCCTGTGCCCCTGGGACTCGGAGGGCAAGGCTTCCTCAGGCTTCCACGGCTCCTCCCTGGGACGGTAGACCCCGCTCTGTGTGTGGGGGTTTGTGTGAGAGTTTCCTGCTCTCCCTGTGGGGCCCAGGCCTGTGTTCCGTCCCTCACTCAACAGGAGGGAAGTTTTTCCTCTGCTCTTTTCCATCTACAATGTCTTGGGTGGCAGATAGGGGGACGGCACCTCTCCCCACCCCTCCACCCACCAAGGATCCCCACCTTCTGCTGAACTTTCCAGGGAGACTCCTTGAGGAGCAGCTGCTGTGCTTAGGAAGGTGCCGCCTTCAAGGAAAGAACTTCAAAAACATGTGAAGGTGACACAGAGGGACAGCTGCCTCGAGAAAGCAGTTTATTGGCCTCATACCGGGTGAGGTTTCCTGCTGGAGGCAGACAGACCCTGAGCCCCAGGGCTTCCCTGAGGGGGTGCACAGGCCACGAGGGACCCAGATCACCCTGCCACAGTCTCACGCTGGAGTTCAGAGGGCTTGTCGAACAGGCCTTTCATCTGCCGCGTGCAGAACCTGAGGCAGCCGCGGGCTCGCGGGAGAGGTGCCGGCGTGGCCCCGTCCCGTCTGCTCTGGGAGCAGCTGGTAGGAGGCTCTCGGTCAGCAGGTCAGCAGCAGGGAGGGGCCCCACAGGAGATGGGTTTGCAGACCCAGGTGGGGCAGGAGGGCCGGATGCACCCAGAGGACTGGCAGGGGGAGGCCACACACACGACGGGCTTGCAGCTCACGGGCAGGCACACGGAGGACTGGCAAGAGGGAGCCACGCACACAATGGGCTTGCAGCTCGCGGGCAGGCAGCAGGCGGCCTGGCATCTCACAGGCACGTACACGGCGGGCTTGCAGCTCGCGGGCGGGCAGCAGGCGGCCTGGCAGGGGCTGGGCGAGCAGCAGCCAGCCTGGCGGCCCGTGGAGCAGCCGGTGTGGCACATGTTGTCGTGGGCTGGCTGGTGTGGGAGTGGAGGGTGGTGATGTCTGCGGGCTCGCTCCCTGGTGGCCTTTATACCCAGGCTGTGGGTGTTCCGGCAACACCAGCGTGACTGCTGACTCCCCCGTGGCTGTGTCCACGTGTTTCCCAGCATCTTCTTTCCTGGGACGCACTTTCCCACGTTAGGCTCCCCGTAAATAAGCGTGGCTCTGAGGCCAGGCTCCCCCCGTAAACAGGGCCTTCTGGTTTGGCCACGTGTGCGCGTGTGGCGTCTCCAGGCCATTGCTGTACACGGGGCACCCCCGCGGGCTCGGAGTACCGTGTCCTAGGCAGATCGTCCCATGCCACCCGTGAGGACCCGAGGCCACGGTGGAGCTCGAGCGTTTATTCCGCACGGGAGGTGCTAAAGCAGGAGCCTGCGAGCTGGAGTCCGCAGCGGGAATGCGGCTGCTGCCCGGCTGGAAATGAAAGCTGCGGGACGCAGCCACGGCCCTGTCCCCGTGCGCCCGTGTCCCCGTGGCTGCCCAGGGCTGCTTTTGCACAGCCTGCTGAGCAGTTATGGGAGAGACCGTGTGACAGCGAAGCCCCAAATGCTTGCTGCCCGCCCCTTCCAGGGAGTTCGCCCGAATCTGTACAGAAATGGACTTCGCCGTGGAAACAGCGCGCCGGGCGCTGCAGCGGAGCGTCCCCCTCGGGGCCTTCCAGGGCGGCGGGTGGGCGAGAGGGTGGGGACGGATGCAGGGCGTCATCGGGGGCTGGGACCAGAAGGGAGAACAGGTGCAGCAGGAGGGGAGGAAGGGGGCTGGGGGCGGCTGGGCCTCTCGGGGGGATGCCGAGCCGCACCGGGTGCTGTGAAGGGCCAGGGGCGGCGTCCCAGGCAGGGGCGCACGGGGTGAGGACCCTGCTGCGGGAACGGCCCCGCTGGGAGCGCTGGGGCTCGGCTGTGACTGACGTCGTGGGTTGCAGATTGCTGGCTTTCACGTGTGTCCACATCCCTGCATCTCACTTTCTTTGGGTTAGGAGTGAGGTTGAACCTTTTTTTAAAAAATTATTTTTTATTGAATGTATTGGGGTGACATTGGTTAATAAAATTATGTAGGTTTAAGGTATACGGTTCCGTAACACATCACCTGTATATTGTATTGTGTGGTCACCACCCCAAGTCATGCCTCCTCCCGTCACCATTTACCCCCCTACCCTCTCCTGTCTCCCTCCACCCCCGTTTCTCTCTGGTAATCACCACACTGTTGTCTGTCTAGGAGGTTTTTTCTTTTTTTGGCTTAATTCCTTCACCTTTTTCACCCAGCCCCCCTCCCCGTTCCCCTCTGACAGCTATGAGTCTCTTTCTATCTTGTTTGTTAGTTTATTTTGTTCATTAGATTCCACATATAAGTGAGATCATATGGTGCTTGTTTTCCTCTGACTGGCTTATTTCACTCAGCTTAATACTCTCCAGTTCCCTCCATGCTGTCAAAAAAAGTAATATTTCATTCTGTTGTATGGCCGAGTAGTATCCATGGTGTCAATGTCCCACAGCTTTGTTATCCACTCATAGGATCCACTGGTGGGCACTGGGCTGCTTGCAAGACTTGGCTACTGTAAATAACGCTGCGATGGGCACAGGGGAGCATATATTCTTCCGAATTAGTGTTCTGGGTTTCTTTGGATATATTCCTAGAAATGGGATTGCTGGGTCAGAAGGCAGTTCCATTTTTAATTTTTTGAGGAACCTCCACACTGTTTTCCTCAGTGGCGGCACCAGCCTGCGTTCCCACCAGCAGTGCACTAGGGCTCCCCTTCTCCACACCCTCGCCAGCACCAGAAATGAGGTAGAACTTTTTCCATGTATTTTTAGCTCTGTAGTGGGAACAATTCACTGAGGCCTTTGTCCATTTATCTATAAAGATGGTCATATATTCCTTAGAATTTGAATGAGCAAGTAACGGGTACGGGTTTTGAGTAAACTCAGGCCAGCTGAGGGATTTAAGAGTCGAGGCAGGTTTACAATCCAGCCATTCCCTCTTTCGAGGCCCTCTTGGGGCTTTTGCTCCATCCCTCTTTCCCTGGGTAGAGCTTATCTGGGGTGAGGGCGGGTCTTCCAGGCTCCCCTCCTGGCTCCCTGGGGAGCTGCCTTCCGTTCCTGGTCCCTCTGCCTGGTCTCTGCTGTTCCCCTGCTCCTCTGGTCCTCCGTGGTCTGATCCAGATGAGGGACAAGCAGGGCACCCAGTGCTGCCTGGTCAGTCTAACTGGTGTCTTGACTCTAGTACTAGTGGTCCACTGAGACTGCCGGCTCATCCCGCCCCACAGTCCCGAGGGTTTGTTCCCAGGCCCCGAAACCCGGGTAGAATGAATGGTGTTGGAACCAGGCTTTGCGCCCCCTTGGGGCCCACAGGCCCTTGTTGCCGCTCAGAGCGTCAGCCGCTGCGTCCGGAGCAGCGTGCAGGCACCTCCCTCCAGGGGAAGTCAGCAGGGTGCTAGGTATGGGCCGTCGGTTCCTGACCCACAGGGTTTCCGCTGCTCCCCGACTCACCCTTCACCCGGCCGGGCAGGGGGCAGACCTGGGCAGGAGCCCAAGTCCACTCAGGGCCTGTGCCTCCTGCGCCGGGCCTTGGAGGCCTGTCCCTGTGGGGAGGGTGGCCGCTGGGGGCGGGAAGGGAAATGAGCGTGCAGATGGCGTCCCTTCAGGTCTTGTGGCTCAGCTGCCCTGAACTTGGACTAGAGAACGTGTCTTTACCTTCTGGCTTCTACCAGACGGAGCACCACAGCCCGGGAGTGGAGTGGCCGAGGGGGCTCAGGGTGACGGAGAACAGACACGGATTTCCCGGCACAGACATTTTATTGATTATAGCCATTGGCCTTTGTCACATGGGAAGCAAGCAACCAGTCCTGCAGAGGAGGCTCCTGGGGCTCCAAGTGCACCCCCAGTGAGGGATTGGTGAGGGGATGGGGGCACGTTCAGAACAAGAAGGGATGGGGGCACGTTCAGAACAAGAAGGGATGGGGGCACGTTCAGAACTGCACCAGGCAGCCACGGTGACAACCAGTGCGAGAGGGGAGATCCTGGCACCAGCAGAGGGGCTCTGGGGGCTCCAGGGAGAGGAGAACTGGGCTCAGGAGCAAGGACAGCAGCTGAGAGGCAGAGGACGGAGCTGGTCAGCAGCAGGACTTCTGGGCCGAGGTGGGGACACAGCAGGCCGGGCGGGAGCACGCGGGGCTGCAGAGCAGGGACACGCACGAGGCCGGGCGGCAGCAGCTGGGCTGGCAGGAGGAGGAGGGGGCACAGCAGGAGGAGATGGGCACGCAGCAGGCGGGCCTGCACACGGGGCGGCAGATGAGGGACACGCAGGAGGAGGGTCTGCAGCAGGGTGAGGAGGATGAGCAGGGGCCGGCCCCAGAGCAGACAGGCGCGCAGCACGCAGGGGTGCAGCAGGCAGGGGTGCAGCAGACAGGGGTGCAGCAGGTNAGGCGCGCAGCACGCAGGGGTGCAGCAGGCAGGGGTGCAGCAGGCAGGGGTGCAGCAGGTAGGGGTGCAGCACACAGGCTTGCAGCAGACAGAGGTGCAGCAGACAGGCTTGCAGCAGGCAGGGGTGCAGCACACAGGCTTGCAGCAGACAGAGGTGCAGCAGACAGGCTTGCAACACACAGGCTTGCAGCAGACAGGAGTGCAACAGACAGGGGTGCAGCAGGCAGGGGTGCAGCAGACAGGCCTGCAACTGACAGACACACAGCAGGCCTGTTGGCAGGGGGCAGAGGTGCAGCAGGAGGGCTGGCAGCAGCTGGGGACACAGCAGGAGGGCTGGCAGCAGCTGGGGGCACAGCAGGTGGGCTGGCAGCAGCTGGGGGCACAGCAGGAGGGCTCGCAGCAGCTGGGGGCGCAGCAGGAGGGCTGGCAGCAGCTCTCTGGACAGTCGTCCACCTGCCAGGAGGAGCTGGTGCAAGAGTCGCAGGACCCGGGCAGGCAGGCACAGCTGTCATAGCTCAGGTCGCTGGAGCAGACGGACAGGGTGGACGCGGCCATGGCGGGGCGGTGGGGTGCCGGTGAGGTAGGAGGGGGTGTGAGTGAGTGTGTGAGTGTGAGTGTGTGAGGTGCTTGGTCTGTCGGCTTTTATACCCCCCGGGGTGTGTATGCGTTGCCCCAGCAGGAGGCTCCCACGCCCTCTCTTCCTCGTTGGTGTTTGGACTGGTTTCAGGAGAACCCTCATTAGTGCTGGTGTATTTTCTATAATTAGGTTTTACTCATTAGAGTTGTGAGTATGTTGCAGGACTCTGTTTTCCCATCTGTTCTTTTTTTGGCTCCAGAAAAAGTGTGAAAAATAAGAGGCAAGTTTTTGCCCAGTGACTGCCACAGGCTCAGACATCACATTCCCGGAGGGACAGGGTATGAGATAAATTCATGGCCACTAACAGCCCTCTGTCACACCAGCCACACCCATGTGAGAAGACCGTGGGAAGGACACCAGGACCATCACAGCCAAATCACAAAGCTCCTGAGAGGACTACTAAAGGGGTCAGAAGTGAACAAAATAGAAAAAACGTGACCAAAACCACACACAATGTATGTCCACTGGGGACCTGAGGTAGTCAAAGGCAAGATACTCAGGGCTATATAGTCCACTCTTCCTGGTCAGGCCATCATTGGCATAATTTCAATCAAAATCCAAAGGGGCCCAGCTGGCATGGCTCAGCGATTGAGCATCGACCTAGGATCCAGGAGATCGCGGTTCAATTCCCGGTCAGGGCACATGCCCATGTTGGGGGCTCGATCCCCAGCAGGGGGCGTGTAGGAGGCATCTGGTCAATGATTCTCTCATCATTGATGTTTCTCTCTCTCTCTCTTCCTCTTCCTTCCTCTCTGAAATCAATAAAGACATATTTAAAACAAACAAACAAATAAACCCAAAGGGAATCTTTTTGGTATACAAGCTGAAGCTCTCAAACTGCCAGCAAATATTTGCAACATGCACGATGGATGGAAGGTTAGCACGGAAATGAAAAAGTCCTTGCCACCCAAACAGAATAAGATGAAACAACCAAATACAAAATCCAAACATTCGAATTTCCTTAAGCATCTGAAAAGCTACTTGACCTAATTAATGATTAAAATTCCTCAAATTCATACATAGCTGTCCCACCTGCAAGATTTACAACACTGGTCATGTTCAGTGCTGCTGAGTGTGGGGCTTCACTCTCAGGAACCCTTCGGTGTGTTTTTCATGGACGTGTGATAACACATAGTATGAAACTTACCGTTTTAACCATTTATAAATGTAAAATTCAGGGACATTCAGTACAGTCAATGTTTTGCAACCATTACCACTCTCTAGTTCCAGAACGTTCTCATCACTACAAAGGAAATCCTTTGTTATTAAGCAGTCCTTTCCTGTCCCAGTCAATCACTACTTTGTTTTCAGTCTCAGTGGATTTGCCCATTCTGCACATTTCATGGAAAAGAAATCATGTAATATGTGGTCTTTTGTGTCTGGAATATTTCACTGAGCATAAATTTTTTAGTGTTCATCCTGTTGTAGCAGGTGTCAGTGCTTCACTCCTTTTTACAGCTGAATAATATTCCATTGTATGGACATACCACATTTTACTTAACCGTTCATTAGTTAATAGACACCTGAGTTGTTTCCACTTTTTGACTAGTGTGAATAATTATGTTATGGACATTTTTATACAATCTTTTGTTTGAACACCTTTTTCAATTCTCTTGGGTATACACTTAGAAGTAGAATTGCTAGGTCATATGGTAGCTCTATGTCTAACTTTTGAGGAACTGTCGGACTGTTTTCTGTAACAGCAGCATCATTTTACATTTCCACCAGCAATGTATAAAGTGACATCTCATCGTGATTTTGATTTGCATTACCTAATAACCAATGATATTGGGTTTCCTTTCATGTGCTTGTTGGCCATTTGTATATCTTTTTTGGATAAATGTCTATCAAAGTGCTTTGCCCATTTTTAATTGGGTTATTTGTCTTTCCATTATTGAGTTATAGGTGTTCTTTATGCATGCTGGATACTAGACCTTTATCAGAATTATGATTTGCAAATATTTTCTCCCATTCTGTGGGTTGTGTTTTACTCTGTTGATGGTATCCTCTGATACATAAAACATTATAATATTTATGAAGTCTAATTTATCTATATTTTCTTTTGGTGTCCTATCTAGAAACCATGCAGATTTAACCCTATGTTTTCTTCTAAGAGGTTTATAGCTTTAGCTCTTATATCAGGTCTTATCCATTTTGAGTTAATTTTTATATGTGGTGTGATATAGGGTTCAACTTTATTCTTTTGCATATGAATATCCAGTTGTCCCAGCACCATTAGCTGAAGAGACTATTCTTTCCCCATTGAATGATCTTGAAACCCTAGTTGAAAATCAATTGACCATAAATGTATAAGTTTATTTCTAGACTCTCACTTTTTTCCCTTGATCTATACATCTATCCTCATGCCAGTACCACTGTTTTGATTACTGTGACTTTGTGGTAAGTTTTATTTTTTCCTTTCTAATGTGTATGACTTTTATTTCTTTTTCTTGTCTAATTTCTCAGGCTAGGACTTCTAGTACAATGTTTAATAGAAGTGGTGAGAGTGGTCATCCTTGCCTTGTTCCTGATCTTAGGGAAAAAGCTTTTGGTCTTTCACCATTGAGCATGATGTTACCTGTAGGTTTTTCATAATGCCCTCTATTGTGTTAAGAAAGTTCCTTTCTAGTCCTAGTTCGTTGAGTGTTTTTATCATGAAAGAGTGTTGATTTTTGTACATGAATTCTGGAAGGGGAAGGGCTGGGAGAAGCATTACTACATACACTCGTCTTGATTGCAGTGTTCTTCTTTCTGGGGTGGGAACATTTACACCAAAGAAATTGGCAGACACTACAAATAACAGCCTTTTTGGGGGAGGTTAACACATCACTTGCATACTCTTCAAACTCTAAAAACAAACAAACAGAAGTCAAGCCTTCATGACCAGAGAAGGGAGGGCAGTCTCCACAATAGAGATCTTGATCCTTTGCCCAGTTCCTGGAGCTGAGCCAGTCCTCAGACTGGAACATCCTGATTGAATCCAGTATAAAGTTACCAATAGTTTAACAACCAGCTTACAAAATTCTTGAGTATTTAATATTCAAGCTAGTACAAGTCAGCTTCAGCTAGCTCCAGCACACTGCTGGCAGGAATCTGTAGGCTGCCCATCACACCCCCCCCCTTTGCCCCAGGCATTCTATGTTCTGAAAATCACCTCCTACAGCTCCCCAGCCAGGTCCATTCAGAGGCTTGGCTTTCATCCCAGTGCCTTCCCCTCCTGTTTTCTTAGTCCCCCTGATGGTAATAGCTTTATTAAGTTTTGGTTTATTTTTCCATTGTTTTTTCAGTATAGCCAAAAATATGTGTGTATGATTCCCTTTTCTTACACCAAGGATGGTATATCACATGCACTGGTCAGCACCTTGCGTTTCTCACTTACCCATGTACCCTGGACCACTCTGTAGTGGTTACCGAGACCCGCCCCCCCTTTCTATAACCGCACAGTGCTCCGCACATGACCTCCGCTGGCTTACTCCACTCGTCCTCTGCTGATGGACGGTTATTTTCCCTCCAGTGTTTTGTTGTTCAGAATAATGCTGCAATGGGCGGGTGTCATTGACAGGCATCATTTAATAATTTGACAGTGTATCTTTGGGATGATTTCCTAGAATTTATTTTATTATTTATTATTTGTCACCGAGTCATGATGTCAGTTTGGCGGACAGTCTCAGACTCCCCTCCGGATTGCTAGTTCCATTTTGCCTTCCCGCAGGGAGTGGGAGTGAGTGCCTTCTGGACAGTCTCCCAGCTGACTGTGTCCAAAAGCTTTGGCTTTTTATCAATCTGATAGCCAGGAAATAGAATCTCTTTCTTAAAAATGTACCTTTCTCTCTGTGAGTTTGAGCACCTTTTTGTACGTTCAAGGCCAATTGCATTTCTTTTTCTGTGACCTGCTGTTCATACCTCTTGCCCATGAGAAAAAGGGATTTGTTGGTCTTTTTCTTCCCTGATTTTTGGCAGCATTTAAATATTAGGGACACCTTTTCTGTGGTACAAGTTGTAACTATTTCCTCCTGTTTTTTTTTTTTTTTTTTTTTTTTCTTTTTTTTTTTTTTTTTTTTTTTTTTTGTCAATGGCTCAAAACCACATCTTAACATCTCTAAAATGGGGAAACATCTTCCATAAGATGGCATGTCCTAGTTCAGTTGACAACTGCTACTTTTGCTGAGAGGTATGTAAAATAATGGAGGGTCTCACCATGGATGGGAGCTGAAACTTGATCAGATACGGCCTGTCTGGGACTTGTGTGTATTCTTTAGGACTTTGCCCCAAAATGGCCAGCTGTGAATGGACATCAGACACCTTGTGATGTGAATTATCTGAATGCCTCAAGCTGCCTAAATTACTGTAGCATCACCAGATCTCCTTTTGGGTTTCAAAAGCAAAAAAAGAGCCCTTTCCTTCAAAGCCAAAAGTATGTCCTTATTTCGAATAGAAAAGGAATATCTCAGTGAAACAAGCCTTGAGCAACTACAGTATGTGAGCACCATGCCTCGAGCCAGAGGTACCACGTTAACGGGATGGCCGCAGCCCGACGGGGCTGCCTGGACGGGGTGGCGGGGTGTCAGTGTGGTTCTCTGTTGTTAGGGAGATGAAGAGCCTCTCTCTTCCACCTCCTGCCCCCCAAATGTGCTATGAGCAGTCAAGGCTGTCTACAGCGGTCATGGAAATAAGAACCCGGGGTGGGAAGGACAGAGCAGGGATCTAGCCTGGGTGTGCACTGTGCCCCCAAGTCCTTGGCGCCCCTCCTTCTGGTGGAGATGGGGCTCCATTTCTCTGGCTGCCCCGTAAGAAGCCCCGACAGCCCTTCCTGAGGGAGGCAGGAGGGCTCTTCATGTGCGACCCGTGACCCGTGTCCTGCTGTCTGGTCAGTCCACGGAATGCAGCTGGGTGGGTCTGGCCAGAGGCTGAGTGTTTG